GAAAGGGCAGGTAGGTGGAACGATGGGAAGAGGGCGATCCTTACCTCTGTCCTCAGGAGACGGATGCAGGGGCTTCTTGTCAGCCAACGGGACCTCGGGTTTGCGAGCTGAAAAGCAAAACATGTTGGTTAGTAACGTCCTCCTCTACCGTCGCTCTACGAGTCTATGAGGGCAGCCACTCGAACACAGAACAAACTGAACAGACATTCTGCAAGCAGGAGGATGTGAGACACTCAAGTGTTTCCTGTGCAGACTTAAGGGAGAGTACAGAAATCTTTGCAGTGCTCTGCAAGCGCCTGTAACTTCAGATGTGGGTTTACTAGATAGGAGGCTTTCTTGCAATCAGTCTTAACACCCTTTGGAAACAAAAACCTAAAAGAACAGAAAAAGGTCCGTTTTTTTCCCACTCAAGACAGATATCTAGGTGAAAGGTGCTTTTCAATTGAACTGAATTGGAATTGACGAAACCCCTGAAAATAAATGACAAATGTGAGCACTTAGAACGAATGAATCGTGATAGAAATAATGATAGAATGAATAGATCCATCATCTCCAAAAGCCTACACCTTGAAGGTGTTAGGGAAGTCTCCATGCCTCTAGATCAGTGATTCCCAACCTTTTAAGAACTGTGGCACACCTTGATGGTACAAAGAATTCTGAGGCACACCTCAAATGTCCTTATGTCTCGTCTGATAGTGATATATACAGCAAATAATATATTTTCTGTGAATTGTTTTTTAAAAATTAATTTTCATAGTTCCTTACTCATGATGATTAATTTGTGTGTACCCCTTTAAGAGCATCCCATGATCGGTTGAAAGAAAACAAATGTAGCTCCCATGAAATGGGTCTTTACTTTTGAACGGTTTGGGCTAGAGACAAGCGGTTTTCTGCATTGTAAAAGTGCAACCACGGACACAAAGCCATGCTCCGTTTGTTTCTATAGCAGAGGCTGTGTTAGAGCTAAGCCTAAATCAGACTTGCCTGTGCTAATGGGTGATGCTCGCCCCTTTAAACAATACCTTTTTTACATCAGCCTGAGCGTACCGGACTTGAAACAACGATACAGATGTTACCATGCTCCCAAATCAAAATGCCATGTTAATTCCACAGGTCACGTTCTAAAGTGAGTGTTACATTTGTTAAAATCAAGATGAGGAAAAGTTTTGCGGCACACCTGAGAGTTCCTCAACGCACACCAGTGTGTCACAGCACACTGGTTGAAAACCATTGCTCTAGAGATCTAAATTAGATCCAGATCTATAGCAAAGTTAAAAGACCTCCGGGTACAGTGGGTTTTATCTCTCTCAACAGCCGGGATGAGAGCCTAGAAGTCTGCTACGTGAGACTTCAGTGTGCCATTAGACAGGAGTCAAAGGATCCTAAATATCTACATGCATCACGTCTCTGTTCGCCTTTGCAGACAATCAAGGATTCAGATCTGGACTGAATTTACAACATGGTACAAAACAAAGTTGGGAAATTCATAGATGTTAGTTTATTTTCCCTGAATCCTAAACCCCTCAGGGTCGTATTGCAACACAGTCATCATCTGTGCATTAATTAATAACGCGCCAATTTAGGCCCCCTCCCCGGAGCTTCACAGCACTTCTGAGAAAATCGTTCCAGAGAAGAGCAGCGTTCAAATCTATAAATCATTCTGAGGAAGCGATTAGAACCCTCCTCCACCTCTCCATCTGATTCTTCCTGGCCATTACCCCCAAGACCTGTTGCCTTGTCAACCAAACCGATGGAGACGTGAACGCCTAATAACAATCATGATCACCTCTGGAGCATACATAACTAGAGATTATATTAGGTGACAGGGTGCGCTAATAGACACGAGCAGAGGTACATGTTTGTGTTCGTCTGCCCATATTGATTGATACTGTACAAACACTCGGCAAGAGACGAGTGAAGAGTTCCTGCTTCTTGGAAACTAACGCTGAGAGAGACAAGAAGTCATCCACAGCCAGCCTCTCCATTAAAGGATAGTGATCTACTTTTACCAGGGGCGCAACTTTGGTTTTAGAAGTGGGGGGGACATTCTATTCTTTATTTTTAATCCAGTCGGATAAACACTCCAAAACAGCCTACCCGACCGCTCGGAGGCGTCCGCATGGTCCTAAAGCACACCTGTGCCTCGTTTTGTATCACACTCCAATGATAAAACTGTGGGGGACAACAATTCCATTTCAGAATGAGGGGGGGACATGTCCATCCCCAGTGAAAGTTGCACCCCTGACTTTAACAATCGTTGACATGATCATCTAAAGGAGGTTGACGATGGTCACGTTGATTATGAAACAGGCCTTACCTATGCTTTTTGATGGTGGCGGTGGCTTCTTGGGTCTCTGAAAAACAGAAAGTAGGTCAACGTGACAAAGAGGACTTCTCATTCAGTTACAGTAGCCCTCAGTTTAAATATCATCAGACTCCCAGCAGATGCACCATGATGGCCAACAAGTAGAGAACGAAAGAGCACTTTATTGCTCCACTGAATTAGGTTTAACATTCAGGGAATACGTTAATAATTACAGTACGTAGTAAGGTAACAAGTCAAGCCTTTTTCTAAAGAAAAGCAACCCAAAATACCTGGCGTTACACAAGCTGACACAAGTCATAATGCACTGACGGGACAATTATAAGGACAGCCAATAGTCCTATACAGGCAAAGAAAATGTTTTTTTATTATGGCGTGGGAGTGTCTCTCTCCATCTAGCTACTTCAATAGGCGCTATTGCAACTAAGACAGTGGCCCTGGGGTTAATGGTTTGTTCAAGGGGGAAATGTTTTTCAATGCACAACTACATTTCATTACTTTTGGGTGATTGCACAGAGGAATTTCACGTTTAACAAAGAAGAAAGTCAGGGTCTGTTCAATCATTGTTTGTTGCTCCTTGGTCTTCATCAGTTTCTTAAAATTCTTCCTAATTCACTGTGTTCTTTTCTGCCTGGCTTCTGTAATAAATTCGAACATGCTTAGGCTTTATTCTTATATGATACATTTCCAATTTAAACTGTTTATCAATAGAAACACAAGGCTTCACAGATGCAGATAACATGACAGCTGTTCAAGGTAGTCAGCCTGAGCAATCCACTGTGCCGAATCACTGATCTACAAATCAACTTGCACTTTTTATCCTTAGATAGAAAGATGAAAGAATCTGCTCAATGCCTTGCTCAGGCCCATCAGTGTGTCAGAGTATGGAGGGCTGAGGAGTGACGCCAGGTATTTCATGCTGAGGCCAGAGCATTACTCAAAAGAGAAGCACATGCACCAAATGAATACATCAAGCAATTATTTTCCGTTCCACCATGATCTTAAAGCCGAGATCCGTGATAGTTGAAACAGTGCTACTGCTCTCCCCAGGTGCAAGCATATGTTTTTGTTTTGTTTTTGAAAAGGAGGAGATGAGTGTCCAGCAAAGAAGAATAAAATAATTGTAGCACATACTGTGCTGTTCTATTTGCTCTTGCAATGATGTCCAATGTAGAAAAAAATAGTATTTGATGACAATTTCCATGGCAACTTTCCTTGTTAAGGCTATATCTGAGAATGAATTGCAGCCAAACTGTGATAGCACCAGTATCTAATCTGAGAGCTATAAGCAGCCACTTGACAATTCATGTGTCTTACATGCTGTAGTCACGAGGGCCCGCAGCATGAAGAATCACAGGGAATGTGGGACTTTACATTCTCTTAACCACATTAAAGAGAACGAAACCGGGAAAATATTGAAATAAACAAACAATCTTCACTATATCAACAGCATCAGTGGAACACCTATATGGGGTGTTAAAAGCTCAGTTGTTAGGAGGTCAAAAGCTCAGTCGTTCTCCTGTAATTAAACTTTATGCATTGACCATAGGGATGGGGGGAAATCAATACAGCAGAGTATCACAATATTATATTGATTCTATGAGTAACATTTTTTGCTAGGTCGTTAACGTTAGCTAGTGCTAGTCGGCTGTACATGCGCAAAAACGTCGGTATTTCTCCTCCTATAGATTGGCCTCAATTTTCCTTTTAAATAGTGAGCCAAAATGTTTTCAGCACTTTTATTTCCACGTCTCTTGTCCCACTGCAGCAGACATAAACAGAGACAGAGACAGAGACAGAGACACAGAGACAGAGACAGAGAGATACATATGTTTGGAACATCGAATCGCAATATCGAATCGCAATACATATAGAATTGTGATCAATCGTAACACATATTGAATCGCAATACATATCATATTGGCGCCTAAGTTTCATGATAATATTGTATCGTGAGGTCCCTGGCAATTCCTAATTGATAATAAGATTGATAAAATGTAAATGTATATGCTACTAATATGTATCCTGTAACAACCCAAACTGAGACTTCTATATACCATGCTCACAATAACAACTTAGAAATAAAGAAAGAGAGAGGTTCAGAGAAAGAGAGAATATGAATGAAATCAGAGAGGAAGAGAGAGCGAGAGACTGGCCTGACTGCCTCTCTTAATGGAGAACTGTTCATGTCTGCCCTCTACTGAGCATCTAGCAGAACTGAGAACATAAACTTCCATCCCATCGGCCAGGGCCTTAAACAAAGGGCAACATTGAGCTCCATTATGGCGTAAATACTCCCCTAATGCTCTGGGTCAGAAGGCTGTTCACCACCACTGCTTGACCCATTGACCTACGTATGGTGATGCAGAGCAGCATGGTCTCTCCACCGGGCCGTGACACGACACAACAACAGCAGCCACTGTGTGGGCCGGGGAGGCAACAGGTGCCAGGACACTTTGCAATGGCAACAGAGCTAATAAACAGGGACTATAATGTGTATAAAAATATTTAGAGAAAGCATAATTTTCAGTCTGAGGTGTGTGATGACTTATAGGAGACCCCTTACAGAGACCCCAATATGACCAGTCAGCAGAACATATAATGAGGCTATCACTCTCATTATAACTGCTCTCCATATCAAAAGGAAGAGTCCCATATGAATTATGTGAGCATACACCAAGACCATGTACTCTAACACAAGCATGTAGAAATCCCAGCCTACCTCTTCCGGTTCCTGCTTGGGAGACAGTTTGACTGATCCTCTTGATGTGGGAGCCGGCTGCAACATAAAAGGATTTAGTTTTGAAAGTTTTTATAATGAAACATGTATGATCATTAAACATAGGTTACTAAAGGACAAGACCACTAGGGAACACATACTGTATGTTATCTGGTGTTCACTATTTCTTTCATTTTACCTCTTTGTCTGCGTCTGACATCACAGCCACAAAGTTGTCAGGAAAAACCCCCTCTTTACCTCCGACCTCCCCTCTCCACCACCCCGGCTCCCCTGTGTTCTGAAACATAACAACAAGAACTTAACTGGTAAAGCATTTTTTAAACATTACGATGAAAAGGCTAAGATAAAAGAACATACTAGAGACTCCTGAGGGACAGGAGTCTGAGAAACTTTATAAATGTCTGCATCAGGCCATTTTGTAATCAAAACAAATTATTCTCTGAATAAACAATTATGCCTTTGATTCAATATAATCAGCTTGAATCAGCTTCAAAGCCCACAACCTCACTTCATGTTAGACATCACATGTAAGTCTGCTTAATGGACACTAGATGGCACTTAAACATGATTTATCCACAGCGAAACATGATCTGTCATAATGTGTCTGCCTTAAATAACAAACCATGACTCAAGAGCCACATAACCTCTTAAATGGTAACTCAACCTCTCCATATGGCCTAGCACCGTCTTGGCCACGTTCCCAGTCAGGGCACTAATGCTTTTCTTCAGGGTGTGAAATTCAACAGGGACCCAAGTCCCAAGTCTCTGGCCAATGTCAAGGGAAGCTAACTGCCATAGATCACTTACTTGCTATGACGACAGCTTCCTCTCATCACGCTGCTTCCAAAACACAGCAGGGTGCTCGTTGGTGATCAGGGTCGTGTTTAGAGGCCATTTTGAAATGGAAGAGGTACTACCTGAACTGGTCCAATAAGAAGATCACCCATTTCCTGTTACAAAATGTTGTTGTGCCTACTGTAAACTACCCAGGTCTACCTAAATCCTAATACGAATCATTAGGACTAAATACTTAAATCCATCCCTAGGGTGAGTGAGATGAACACACTGAGGATCACGGACCGGGATGGACCATGTTGACCAGGTGTATAGTGTAAACACGTGGCTGGGAACAAGCCTATACATCCTCTAGTAACCTCTCTCCCTTACAAGAGGGACAGTTATGTAGACTGCTTTTAAAACCTTTTTTGACTAGCAAATGAAGACTGGTAACGTAGTAGGAGTAGTAGTAGCTTTAAGCTTTTCCACTGAATATTGGTTAGGGCCACAGGCTTATAGCTGGTGCTGGTCAGGGTGGCAATACTTACCTTACTCAAGATCTGTATGACGTCACCCTCTTTTAGTGTCAGCTCGTCTTCGTTTGTGGCTTCAAAAGCAAAGGTGGCCTTGCAGTATTCTTTTACTGGAGGAAGAGGAACAACACCGTTCTTGAGAAACGCAGTCATTGACCAACAAAACACACAGAGTAAATTAACACATACAATAAGAGTCAAGTGATGGATGTGGTTAGGGCTGTGGCAGTCCCGAAATTTCAGCAGCCGGTGATTGTCAAGCAAATAACTGTCGGTCTCACGATAGCATCTCCTGGCTTCCACATATAGCATACAAGCCAATGATGCAAACCTTTGGAACATTACATTTTAATAAGTATAATAAATCCATGTAATATAGCCTACACTTTCACAATAAATTCATTATTTATTTTAGACAGGTCTAAAGAAGCATGAGATGAAGAAAATGTAGTCTATTTCAGAACAACAGAATAGCATACTCTGAGTTGTCCTTATGTTAGGTCCTGATCTGGCTATGCCATACGGCTGTGGGCTACACTAGTTCATTTAACATGATTTGCTTAGAATTCCGTGGCACTATTTTATATTATTTTATAGTGTGAAGAATACAATTGAACAAAGCTGAATAAAATAGAAAGGATATTTTCTCCAAACGATTTGAGGGAGTGTGCACATGCGGCTATTCTGTGTTGAGCGGTTAACAAAGAAATAGGTACTCCTATATGCTTAATTTAGTTATTAATGTAACTTTAGTTGTTCTACAAACGTTGGGCTATATGTTTTGATTTTCAATACATTGTAAGGCTGCATGATGCCATTAATGATGATTTGAAAATAGTCGCTTCAAAAGGCATGAGCTCTGCTTAGCTTTTTTTGTGCAGGCTGTACACACTTCATCAGTCTCTCATTCACAATTTGACAAGCACTTGATAATGCCTCGAAGTTTACGGCGGCATCCCCTTTGTGTGGCCGTAATGCACCCTAAAAATATCCATGCCTTCTGCGGCCAGTGGCAGGAGTGCTGTGTTGTGCCCTTCTTCCTGAGTGCTGCGCGCTCCGAAGCACCTCTCACTCACATGGCTCACACGTCATCGGATCTTTCTCACAGGCTACAAGTGAAGACAGACGCATCGGGGATGCAACTGCGCGTGTCCTTATCCAATTCCGAGGTGCATATTGAAGATATTGGAATTATGCAATTATGCATGTAATGATTTTATTATAAAAAGGTGCATTTTTATGGTGAAAATTATCTTCCCCAAACTTGAAACTCACACACTGCTTATGTATGCCAGTTTGGCTCTACACCCCTTGTAAAGCAGATTAATGATCTTAATTTTAAGAAGTTATTTGGCCACTTTAATTGTGATACAAACCTTATCAAAACATATAGGCCTATGGGCTAGGCTACATGAGGTGTGCGACTATGATTTGAAAAAGTCGCAAAAAAAAGGCATTGTTTCTTGTCTTACTGCACACAAGCTGGGCATCATTCACAGGTTATAATATATAATTCACAATTGATAGGCTAAAATTGTGACTCATCAGACTATTCTTGATTTAATCTTGTCTTGACATATACTAAATAATATATGTGTGAAATTTGCTTTGATTTAGAATGGACCATTATTATGCACCTGTCTCTAAACAGGGGCAGCGGGGAAAAAAACCTGTCATCTATGCTCTTAAATAGCAAATGGAAGACGCTCTTCCCGTGGTTCATTTTCATGCCAGCCAGGTAGGCTATACTCCTGTTGTAAAGATAAGCAATGTGCTTAATATTAGGAAAGTTGAGAAATAAATATAGTAGGCTTAGCCTATAGAAAGCTGATGGGATCCTCCTCTTTTTAATAGAGGCCATCACTCTGTTCTCGCGCAATTGCATAGACAATAGAAATGTTGCGCAACATGAGCTCTCATGAAGTGTTTGATTAGATTTTCGATGGCATTTGCATTGATGTCAGAGTGATTAGAGGGACAATAGAATGCTGAGTACCAGTCAGTTAGCACGTTTGGCAAGCTACTAATGGCCATCAGCAGCATCAGAGCTTGGAGAAGCCTAATTACCGTGACTAAATGGTCACGTGGAATTTGACTGCCTTCATGACTCGTGACCGCCGGTGTGGCGGTAATACGGTCACCGCAACAACCCTAGATGTGGTAAGTTTGTTCCTAGTGATACCATTACAATTGGCTAACCCTAACCCTGCCATTGGCTTTAAAAGTTTAACAATTAGGAAGCAACTGTGTGAATGTAGTTACACATTCCCCAACAACATAACAATATATCCCCCTTGAACCTACCCTCAATGTAAGAACAAATTGTTAGAATCACAATAAAAACACCATAAATGTTGTGCTATGATTATCAAGCGTTGGACAACAGGTGTTGGACAATGGTCTTTATGGGCATGACAAAACACACATATTGTACTGTCTGAGAACACAACACTAGATGCCATTTTGTATTTAACAGTCACTTCTAATCATAAACACTGGGACCTTTACCCTCTCCCTTACCTTTTGCTTTGCTGTCCCCCTCTGCTTTCTGTGAGTCTGTCGCGTTGGAATGGGCGGGCTTTGCGGTAGATGGTAATAATGGGATTGGCTAAAATGAAGCAAACCACAGATGGATTTACTGACATGATTGTATGCACAGTACAATGCCCAGATGGTCTCCACCAATGAGAGACTAGCCATGCCTGACCGGAATGAACACAGAGCACAGGGTCATCAGCGGACTCACTGATTGGTCAACAGCGTGCAGGTCAGTGTATGTGAAAAGTATGGCAGTCTACTACAGAGTACAGTGGGGAAAAAAAAGTATTTAGTCAGCCACCAATTGTGCAAGTTCTCCCACTTAAAAAAATGAGAGAGGCCTGTAATTTTCATCATAGGTACACGTCAGCTATGACAGACAAAATGAGAAAAAAATATCCAGAAAATCACATTGTAGGATTTTTTATGAATTTATTTGCAAATTATGGTGGAAAATAAGTATATGGTCAATAACAAAAGTTTCTAAATACTTTGTTATATACCCTTTGTTGGCAATGACACAGGTCAAACGTTTTCTGTAAGTCTTCACAAGGTTTTCACACACTGTTGCTGGTATTTTAGCCCATTCCTCCATGCAGATCTCCTCTAGAGCAGTGATGTTTTGGGGCTGTCGCTGGGCAACACAGACTTTCAACTCCCTCCAAAGATTTTCTATGGGGTTGAGATCTGGAGACTGGCTAGGCCACTCCAGGACCTTGAAATGCTTCTTACCAAGCCACTCCTTCGTTGCCCGGGCGGTGTGTTTGGGATCATTGTCATGCTGAAAGACCCAGCCACGTTTCATCTTCAATGCCCTTGCTGATGGAAGTAGGTTTTCACTCAAAATCTCACGATACATGGCCCCATTCATTCTTTCCTTTACACGGATCAGTCGTCCTGGTCCCTTTGCAGAAAAACAGCCCCAAAGCATGATGTTTCCATCCCCATGCTTCACAGTAGGTATGGTGTTCTTTGGATGCAACTCAGCATTCTTTGTCCTCCAAACACGACGAGTTGAGTTTTTACAAAAAAATTATATTTTGGTTTCATTTGACCATATGACATTCTCCCAATCCTCTTCTGGATCATCCAAATGCACTCTAGCAAACTTCAGACAGGCCTGGACATGTACTGGCTTAAGCAGGGGGACACGTCTGGCACTGCAGGATTTGAGTCCCTGGCGGCGTAGTGTGTTACTGATGGTAGGCTTTGTTACTTTGGTCCCAGCTCTCTGCAGGTCATTCACTAGGTCCCCCCGTGTGGTTCTGGGATTTTTGCTCACCGTTCTTGTGATCATTTTGACCCCACGGGGTGAGATCTTGCGTGGAGCCCCAGATCGAGGGAGATTATCAGTGGTCTTGTATGTCTTCCATTTCCTGATAATTGCTCCCACAGTTGATTTCTTCAAACCAAGCTGCTTACCTATTGCAGATTCAGTCTTCCCAGCCTGGTGCAGGTCTACAATTTTGTTTCTGGTGTCCTTTGACAGCTCTTTGGTCTTGGCCATAGTGGAGTTTGGAGTGTGACTGTTTGAGGTTGTGGACAGGTGTCTTTTATACTGATAACAAGTTCAAACAGGTGCCATTAATACAGGTAACGAGTGGAGGACAGAGGAGCCTCTTAAAGAAGAAGTTACAGGTCTGTGAGAGCCAGAAATCTTGCTTGTTTGTAGGTGACCAAATACATATTTTCCACCATAATTTGCTAATAAATTCATAAAAAATCCTACAATGTGATTTTCTGGATTTTTTTTCCTCAATTTGTCTGTCATAGTTGACGTGTACCTATGATGAAAATTACAGGCCTCTCTCATCTTTTTAAGTGGGAGAACTTGCACAATTGGTGGCTGACTAAATACTTTTTTTCCCCACTGTATGTCATATGGGTTAGAGTTAGGCTAAAACATAGACCAACATCAGAAAGCTTGGGATGAGAAAGTGTTGACATGGAACAACAAGCCTTTCTTAGTTACTGAGTGAGCAGACAGACAAGTGGTAGAGCCAGGCAGGCCTAAGTATATTCTGTGTTTTTCTCAGCTAAGGTGAATGTCCTCTAGATTGTGGGTAACAAGCTGTTGAGTCACGAGGAGAAAGAGCAGAGAGAGGAGAGAGACAGGAGAGAGAGAGGAGAGAGACAGGAGAGAGACAGGAGAGAGACAGGAGATAGAGAGGAGAGAGCGAGAGGAGAGAGAGACAGGAGAGGGAGACAGGAGAGAGAGACAGGAGAGAGCGAGGAGAGAGACAGGAGAGAGCGGAGAGCGAGAGGAGAGACAGAAGAGAGACAGGAGAGAGAGACAGGAGAGAGAGACAGGAGAGAGAGACAGGAGAGAGAGACAGGAGAGAGAGACAGGAGAGAGAGACAGGAGAGAGCGGAGAGAGACAGGAGAGAGAGAGAGAGGAGAGAGACAGGAGAGCGAGAGACAGGAGAAGAGACAGGAGAAGGGACAGGAGAGAGAGACAGGAGAGAGAGACAGGAGAGAGAGACAGGAGAGAGAGACAGGAGAGAGAGACAGGAGACAGAGACAGGAGAAAGAGAAGAGAGAGAGGGACAGGAGAAAGAGAGAGGAGAGAGAGACAGGAGAGAGAGAGAGGAGAGAGAGACAGGAGAGAGGAGAGAGAGACAGGAGAGAGAAAGAGAGACAGGAGAGAGAAAGAGGAGAGAGAGACAGGACAGAGAAAGAGGAGAGAGAGAGAGGAAGAGCAGAGCAACTCCTCAGTTGGTAGAGCATGGCGTTTGCAACGCCAGGGTTGTGGGTTTGATTCCCACGGGGGGCCAGTATGAAAAAATAAATAATAATAATAACAACAATGTATGCACTCACTAACTGTAAGTCGCTCTGGATAAGAGCATCTGCTAAATGACGTAAATGTAAATGAGAGAGAAAGAGCAGAGCGAGAGTGGAAAGTGGGGAGTGGAAAGTGCCAGAGTTGCTGCTACTGATGGATTGACTGTGTGAACGACAGCGTAATGGAATATGCCATGTTGTAAGCTGTGGGACAAAGACTGAACCAACGCTGCCATGACAGAGACAACGGGGAGAAGGGGGGAGAGAGAAGAGTTACGGGGGTTAAATGGAAGCTAGAAATCATCAACTGAAACCTACAGTGTGCTAGTTGCGTGATTATTAAGTTATCACTATTCATGCAAATTAAGATGTCACCAATTTTCTGCTGTAGTTTGTCTCCCTCAGAAACACTGAAGAAAACCTCAGAAACACACTGAAATATCGCCCTCAGAAACACTGAAATATCGCCTTCAGAAACACTGAAATATCGACCTCAGAAACACTGAAATATCACCCTCAGAAACACTGAAATATCACCCACAGAAACCCTGAAATATCACCCTCAGAAACACTGAAATATCACCCACAGAAACACTGAAATATCACCCTCAGAAACCCTGAAATATCACCCTCAGAAACACTGAAATATCACCCACAGAAACACTGAAATATCACCCTCAGAAACACTGAAATATCACCCTCAGAAACACTGAAATATCGCCCTCAGAAACACTGAAATATCGCCCTCAGAAACACTGAAATATCGCCCTCAGAAACACTGAAATATCGCCCTCAGAAACACTGAAATATCGCCCCCAGAAACACTGAAATATCACCCTCAGAAACACTGAAATATCACCCTCAGAAACACTGAAATATCACCCTCAGAAACACTGAAATATCACCCTCAGAAACACTGAAATATCACCCTCAGAAACACTGAAATATCGCCCTCAGAAACACTGAAATATCGCCCCCAGAAACACTGAAATATCGCCCCCAGAAACACTGAAATATCACCCTCAGAAACACTGAAATATCACCCTCAGAAATGACGCCAGGAAACTAGGTCAGTTAGAGGGAGCAGGGAAACTGCTTGCCTGCCATCCAAACAATTTGCGACCAAAATAAAGGCTATCAGCTGAGGAGGAGGAAGGGTTGACAACGAAACCCAACCCACGCTACGCCTCTCCCAGGACTTAAACAAACACTAACCACAAAACTAAATAATACTGACTGGTGGTCCTCGTAAAGGATAAACCATATTGATAAACCAGCTGGGACGTTAAACCATATCGACACCGACCACTTATCGTGGACATTTTGCTGATATCGTTCATTACAATAAATAACTTATAGGGTGCTACTAGAGAAATGTGAAGTTTGAAATGAAGTAAGTTTGCTAAGATGGGTGATAGTTAATGGGACAATTGATAACTACAACATTCAAGAGTAATATAAAAAATATATACTGGTGCACAATGATATAAACTTATCGTTCAATTTATCGTAATTGTGATAATTCAGTCAGTTTATCATGAAATGTATTTTTGTCCACGTCACCCAGCTTTAGGCTGAACTCAGAATGTTAGTTAATGTAAAACAAGCTCATAAACCAATAATATCCTATGTAAAACCACACTCTTTCAGCATTGGTCCCAATGCATTCCAGTTGGAAATGTCTGACTTTAGTGATATGACACATTCTGACCATAAACATTCTTACTATTGTTATACTGTTATGTAACAGACAGTTGGAACTTTGGACACTTAAAAAGCATGCCCGTCTTCCTCTCCAATTGTGAATTGGTTCTCAGAGGACTTCAGTCTATTTTAAGGGGAAGTACGTATTTGAGCCTTATTGGGACCTGTTGAGGTGCATGACACCTTGTGAGTGAGTTCTCAGACATCTCTCAGTCCCAGCTCAGCTCACTTACTTTGTCTTTCTTCTCCTCTCCATCTGTGCTGGGCAGGCGGACCTTTAGCTTGACTGAGCCTTCCCTGAAAATGTCCCCAAAGCCCACCCCCCGAATCTTCTTTGGCTGGGTGATCACTCCATTGCCTGGAGAGGGGTGGGTGGGGGAGGGGGGGAGCAGAGCTTCTTTACCGTTGCCATCTGTGGGAAGGACAAAATGCATGAGGCGAATGGAACAAAACAAAACGGACAGAAACATGTAGACATTTGTGCATGAGAAGAATACCCACACTAGCTAAAAATGTCCAGAGACTACAGCCACCCTAGTCATAGACTGTTCTCTCTGCTACCACACGGCAAGCATTACCGGAGCGCCAAGTCTAGGATCAAAAGGCTTCTTAACAGCTTCTACCCCCAAGCCATAGGACTCCTGAACAGCTAATCAAATGGCTACCCAGACTACTTGCTTTGTAGTCCCCCCCCCCCGCACCCAACCCTAAACCGCAAATATAGAAAATGACGGCAGAAAAAAAATTTGACAGGCGGTGCAGGATATTTTCCCGCCTGATTTAGATACGTTTCTGCTTATAATTTCTGACATTTTGGTAGTCAACTTGTCTATAATTAGATACATGTAGCTTCTCTTCTGTCATTATATGTTGCTCTAGAAGACTCAATAAACCCTTGCTCAATAGAATGATGTAATAGATCGATAGAATTAATGCTTCAATCTAGTTGACGTCAGTAAAGTTCTCTGTCATCTTTCGTGGAGCAAAGTTGTTTAGGGACTGGGGAGAAAATACAATAACGAAGAAAAAAAAACAACGAGATTTTCTGTGCAAAATGTCCAAATGACATCAGTTTGACGGTTTTTAAGAAAAAAGACAATTGTGAAAATTACCCAACGTGTTTCTGCTAAGATTTAAGTTTGGCTTTGATGCATATTTTATGTGGTTGAAATACTAATCAGCTTTTATGAAGACAACACCTCTACAGATGGTATCTAACTGAGCATTGCATTCTCTCAAGATGCAGAAATAAATAAATCATATTTCTCCACTCCAGTTCCCATGTCCAAATTTTGTTAATATTAAGGCTATGTGAGAGGTTATAGACCTACAGTCAGTGTCCAGATTTCAGTTTCCATGACACAACTAAACAGTAGGCTACAGTTCCCTTGACATGCCATAAGCCTATTTGAAGTTCCGTCTTGTGACTGTCGAATTTGCATTGCGACTCACAATCATCACACATAACATAGCTGGCACTGCGATCATCCTCTTTTACCACTTCACCTAATATTCTTGCCCTCCCATCTCTTAATCTTAAACTCATCTTTAGAGGCTTTTGTCTTATTGAATTAAACTTCAACAACTTTTTCTGCCCGTTCCCAAAAGCATTATTTGGCGATTGGCTGTATAGGCTATTTGGCTCGTACAGTTAAACCCTGACGCTTAGGCTTATGGACTAATACCAGATAGCCTAAAATAATGAAAGAAAAACCTCAATGTAGCCTATAGATATAAATTGCACAAGAACAATACATTTATGGATTTAAGGTATTGTTTTCTCTTTATTCAACCCGCGGATATAACTGCAGATTAGGAGTCAACCTGCGTATCACTAACACACACACACTATAGTCTGTACATACAGTCCTTTCGGAAAGTATTCAGACCCCTTGACTTTTTCCACATTTTGTTCCTTACAGCCTTATTCTAAAATTGATTAAATTGTATTTTTCCCTCATCAATCTACACACAATACCTCATAATGACAAAGTGAAAACAGGTTTAGACATGTGTGCAAATTTATACAAAATAAAAAACTGAAATACCTTATTTACATAAGTATTCAGACCCTTTTGCTATGAGACTCGAAATTGAGCTCAGGTGCATCCTGTTTCCATTGATCATCCTTGAGATGTTTGTACAACTTGATTGGAGTCCACCTGTGGTAAATTCAATTGATTGGACATGATTTGGAAAGGCACCCACCGGTCTATATAAGATCCCACAGTTGACAGTGCATGTCAGAGCAAATACCAAGCCATGAGGTCAAAGGAATTGTCCGTAGAGCTCAGAGACAGGATTGTGCCGAGGCACAGATCTGGGGAAGGGTATCAACACATTTCTGCAGCATTGAAGGTCCAAGAACACAGATGCCTCCATCATTCTTAAATGGAAGAAGTTTGGAACCACCAAGGCTCTTCCTAGAGCTGGCCACCCAGGCCAAACTGAGCAATCGGGGGAGAAGGGCCTTGGTCAGGGATGTGACCAAGAACCCGATGGTCACTCTGACAGAGCTCCAGAGTTCCTCTGTGGAGATGGGAGAACCTTCCAGAAGGATAACCATCTCTGCGGCACTCCACTAATCAGGTCTTTATGGTAGAGTGGCCAGACGGAAGCCACTCCTCAGTAAAAAGGCACATGACAGCCCACTTGGAGTTTGCCAAAAGACACATAAAGGACACTCAGATCATGAGAAACAACATTCCCTGGTCTGATGAAACCAAGATTGAACTCTGAACGCCTGAATGCCAAGCATCACTTCTGGAGGAAACCTGGCACCATCCCTACGGTGAAGCATGGTGGTGGCAGCATCATGCTGTGGGGATGTTTTTCAGCGGCAGGGACTGTGAGACTATTCAGGATCGAGGCAAATATGAACAGAGCAAAGTACAGAGAGATCCTTGATGAAAACCTGCTCCAGAGCGCTCAGGACCTCAGACTGGGGCAAAGGTTCACCTTCCAACAGGACAACAACCCTAAGCACACAGCCTAAACTCAGGAGTGGCTTCGGGACAAGTCTCTGAATGTCCTTGAGTGGCCGGACTTGAACCCGATCTAATATCTCTGCAGAGACCTGAAAATAGCTGTGCTGCAATGCTCCCCATCCAACCTGACAGAGCTTGAGAGGATCTGCAGAGAAGAATGGGAGAAACTCCCCAAATACAGGGGTGCCAAGCTTGTAGCGTCATACCCAAGAAGACTCAAGGCTGTAATCGCTGCAAAAAGTGCTTCAACAAAGTATTGAGTAAAGGGTCTGAATACTTATATAAATGTAATATTTCAGCATTTGTTTTTAAATATAAATTTGTAAAAATGTCTAAAAACCTGTTTTTGCTTCGTCATTATGGGTTATTGTGTACATGGATGAGGGGAAAAAACAATTGAATCCATTTTAGAAAAAGGCTGTAACGTAACAACATTTGGAAAAAGTCAAGGGGTCTGAATACTTTCTGAATGCACTGTATGTACTCGTCACAACAGGTAGGCTATAGACGTCTCTCATGTAGACACAATAATTGAAACACAAAATCCCGGAGATTCAGCCAAGAACCTACATTCTTAAGCAGCTCTAACTTGTTATGACATGCTCTGCTTGAACATGATTCACGCCTTTATTTGTGAAGCTCTGCTGGCGCCATAATTACCTCTTTCATCTGTTAAGTCGTTCGTCTGTCCATCTGCGTTTGTCTCGATCTCTTTGACGAAGTTAGAGGGGAACAGTCCTGATTTGCCGTTCATGGTTCCACTCCACCAGCCTTCCTCTACCTGGAACAACCAACCAGAAGCCTCTGAATTTCTGATGTAAACATCTAATCACCTTAGAATAAATGCCTCATAATCACCTTATCTGTAATCACCTTATGATAATATAATATAAGGTACTATTAGCTGTCACAATTTGCATCCAAAGTAAATATGGTAATATGTAAACAGTATTAAGTTATCAGAAAGTTAGAGAGATCATGGCAATTCTATTTTTTTCTCCCATGCAAAACTTAACCTCTTAAAAAACTAATTTAAAAAAATGCATTAAAAAAAATACTACTTCAACAGACTACAAATCAACTCTCAACAGAACAATGAGTCTAACAAGGAGACATTCAATAAAGCACAGGTAAGGAAAGCCAATGCAGGAAAGTCATTACGAGCAGCGTAAATAGCTCATTGCAGCGCAGCATAACGAAGCCTTACCTCCTCATTGATGTCAATGATATCCCCTATCTTCAGCTCCAGCTCATCCTCGTTCTGGGGCACATACTCAAACAGAGCCCTGCACTGCCGTTTCTTAGGCTCTGCAACCACAAAAGACAGGAGCCTGAGAAGGCTGGGAACACCAGTTACACCAGTCTGCTCACTGATACCTAATGGCTTCAACTTCCTGGACACAAGTGTGTTTGTGTGTGTACCCTGGCGTGCCTGAGGGCAGTAGTGATGTGGGAAAACATCTATAAAGTAACATATCGGGATATTATTTTTGACAACATATCGTATAGTTTTGAAAATATCGCAATATTATTTTTGTGATAGTTGGCTGTACCTGCACAAAAACTCCAGTATTTTCCTTCATAGCTTGTTCTCCATCTTCTTTTGAAATGGGGAGCCAATTCGTTTTCAGCACTTTTATTTCCATGACTGATCAAAACTTGTTTGTTTTCTCATGGCTCTCTTATCCCTCTGCAGCAGACATATGTTGAGCAATATTTTTGGACCATGGAATTGCAATAAAATCACAGTATTGAATTGCAATACATATTTCAAATCAAATCAAATCGTATTTGCCACATGCACCGAATACAACAGGTGTAGACCTTACAGTGAAATGCTTACTTACAAGCCCTTAACCAACAATGCAGTAAAAAAAAAAGAATGCGTTGTTACCTACCCTTACCACCTGGGGGCGACTAGTCAGGAAGTCCAGGATCCAGTTACAAAGGGAAGTATTTAGTCCCAGGGTCCTTAGCTTAGTGATATAGAATCGGCACCTAAGTCGCACAATTGGCCCAGCGTCGTCCAGGGTAGGGGAGGGAATGGCCGGCAGGGGATGTAGCTCAGTTGGTAGAGCATGGCGTTTGCAACGCCAGGGTTGTGGGTTCGATAAAATAATGTATGCGCTAACTGTAAGTCGCTCTGGATAAGAGTGTCTGCTAAATGACTAAAAATGTAAATGTAAATGTAAGTATTGTGATATCGTATCGCGAGATCCCTGGCAATTCCCAGCCCTACAGGGCAGTGTGGGAAGGGTGTCTGGATCTAGAAAGTGGAGGAGAACACTCCCCTCCTGCTAGGGGCACTATGCGACGTTTCGGCAAGGTGGCAGTTCTAAGCTCTCTGAACAAGCACAGCTGCACACAGGGGATGTGTCCCAATAATATATCCTTTCTCCTGAATTGTACACTCGTTCACCACTTCCCACAAATCTAGCATTGGATTGGTGGAAGCATGGTCTAGTGGGAGTATCCATCATATTTCATATACCAGTCAGCTCCTTTCAAATCAGTGAAGGGAAGTGAACAAGTGCACATTTTGGGAAGAAGGAGAGATAATTGCGACGTAGCCAGAGTAAACTACACTGCAAGAAGTCACCTCACAGAGGGGACTCAATGGCTGCTCACTAGAACTGAACTAACACTAGGAACCATGTGTATAGGGCCTAAAACTAACTTTTTGGTCAACCACCAGCCGATGATAATAATAATAATAATAATAATATGCCATTTAGCAGAAGCTTTTATCCAAAGCGACTTACAGTCATGCGTGCATACATTTTTTTTGTGTATGGGTGGTCCCGGGGATCGAACCCACTACCTTGGCGTTACAAGCGCCGTGCTCTACCAGCTGAGCTACAGAGGACCACATGATAAAATTCACCCTCCCCTCAGACATTTTTACCAGCATTTGACTAGTGGTCGAGTCCTAATTTCAGGCTCTGGAATGATCTTGTTCATTCCAATATCCTGTACTCTGATAACTTTTAACAACAGGTGTCAAGAGCTCCACTACAGTCAGTGCACATCACTGTCGGACCAAGTGCTGTTGTTAATACCATCACACACGCCTCTGCAGAGACAAACAGACCATTATCATCTCCACTTTAATGCTACATTTCAATAGGGACTACTTGACCTTCACGCAACCCTGCTGTTGACACTTCAATTAAATCAAGTTCTATTCACAAATGTCACAAGATAATGGGTGTGTAGGCTATACAAAGACTCAAGGTGGAAGAAGAGCCTCCATGACTAGCAAATACAGTAGCAGGTGATATATAATATAACCCAAGATGGCGTAGCAGTGCGGACGTGTTTTTTTCTGTGTCCATGTGTAATTAGCCATTTATTTATTTTTTTGTCTATTTTGTATATTTCTCAATTTTTACTTTTCATTCTTTAACTAAATATACCTTCCTGCAACCCGCCTCACCCAAAGTGGAAAGGATTCTAGTATTTCTTTATAACTTTTATCAAGAACGTTAAGCTGAAACTAGTCTAGCTGCAACCGAATGGCTACTTGCTATTAGCCACCGTTAGCGTCTTCACCATTGTCCGTGGCCTGCACTACCCACCAGCCAGCTCTAGCTCTAGCCTGGATAATTTGTCGGCCAGTCTGCACAGCGTGCTATCGACCCAGAGCATATCGGATTTCCTGCCGGAATCACTGGACCCTAGCGCCAGATTATCGCAACCAGCTAGCTGCAACCAAATGGCTGTTGTCGTTGGCTAATCACGCAAGCCGGGCCTCTTGCTCGCCAGTGCTGTAGCAGCCCCCAAACTACCTCCTATTGCTGTTCACCGGACCTTATGATAACTCAGCTATACAGCTGATGCCTGCTGGACTGTTCCTTTATACGGTACCGCATCCTGTTTATGTTTAGCCTCAGCCCAAACTTTGTCGCCATTACCAGCTGTTGTCTTAGCTCTCTCGAATAACACCTGTGATTGCTTTATGCCTCTCTCCCATGTCAATATGCCTTGCTTATTGCTGTTTCGGTTATTCCTTATTGTACTATTTCACTGTAGAGCCCCCAGCCCAGCTCAACCTGCCTTAGACAGCTCCTTTGTACCACTCCCCATACACGCGGAGACTGACTCAATCGGTGCCTCCAGTGATGCTCTCTCTTTCATCGTTACACAACGCTTAGGTTTACCTCCACTGTACTCATATCCTTCCATATCCTTGTCTGTACATAATGCCCTGAATCTATTCTACAATGCCCGGAAACCTGCCCCTTTTTTCTCTGTACCCAACGCACTAGAAGACCAGTTCTTAAAGCCTTTAGCCATATCCTTATTCTACTCCTCCTCTGTTCCTCTGGTGATGTAGAGGTTAACCCAGGCCCTATAGCCCACAGTATGACTCCTACTCCCCAGGCGTTATCATTTGTTGACTTCTGTAACCGCAAAAGCCTTGGTTTCTTGCATGTTAACATCCGAAGCCTCCTCCCTAAGTTTGAGTTATTCACTGCGTTAGCACACTCCGCCAACCCTGATGTTCTAGCAGTGTCTGAATCCTGGCTTAGGAAGGCCACCAAAAATTCAGAAATGTCCATCCCCAACTACAACATTTTCCGTCTTGATAGAACTGCCAAAGGGGGTGGGGTTGCAATCTACTGTAGAGATAGCCTGCAGAGCTCTATCATCCTATCCAGGTCTGTGCCCAAACAGTTTGAGCTACTTCTAAAAATCCACCTTTCAAGAAATAAGTCTCTCACTGTTGCCGGTTGCTACAGCCCCCCCTCAGCCCCGAGCTGTGCCCTGGACACCATATGTGAACTGATTGCCCCCCATCTATCCTCAGAGTTCGTCCTGCTTGGTGACCTAAATTAGGATATGCTTAACACCCCGGCCAACCTACAATCTAAAGTAGATGCCCTCAATCTCACACAAATTATCAACGAACCTACCAGGTACAACCCAAAATCTGTAAACATGGGCACCCTCATAGATATTATCCTGACAAATTTACCCTCTAAATACACCTCCGTTGTCTTCAACCTGGATCTCAGCGATCACTGCCTTATTGCCTGCGTCCGTAATGGGTCCGCGGTCAAACGACCACCCCTCATCACTGTCAAACGCTCCCTAAAACACTTCAGCAAGCTAATTGACCTGGCCCGGGTATCCTGGATGGATATTGACCTCATTCCGTCAGTAGAGGATGCCTGGTTGTTCTTTAAAAGTGTTTTCCACTCAATCTTAAATAAGCATGCACCATTCAAAAAATTCAGAACTAAGAACGGATATAGCTTCTCAGGAGGGGCAATTTTTCTGATGATTTAGGTGACCTACACACATTTAAAAAAAGATATGTCCAGCAACAACATGAAGACAGGGGCAGCATATAAGTCAATACCAGAAGCATTTATTGACTGATCTGGGGAGATGGATTCCAGTTTCTGTGACAGATTATAAATAATCTCTGATGCCTTTGTTATGTTAGCTTTTGGTTGAATGTACTGTCGTAGTAAATATATAATGTTATAGCTTGGTCTGACTAAAATCTTGTGCATGACCCATTTTGTGTTGGGCGTTTGTTTTCAATCAATGCTGTTCCTATCCTATAACAATGGACAAAAGAGTCCTATCTTGTCAGCCTTGTCAGCAGGTGGCCAAGGACAACTGGTCCTCTGTAGCTCAGCTGGTAGAGCACAGCGCTTGTAACGCCAAGGTAGTGGGTTCGATCCCCGGGACCACCCATACACAAAAAAAAAAATGTATGCACGCATGACTGTAAGTCGCTTTGGATAAAAGCGTCTGCTAAATGGCATATTATTATTATTACAACACCCACGCCATAGGTCTCTCAGTTCTTCCAACTCACGAGTTCTTGCTCTGAGGACACACACACACACACACACACATCATCACTGATAACACACACACACACATCATCACTGTTAAACACACACACACACACACACACAAAAATCCCCTCTCTTTAGGCTGAACATTTGAAGACAGAGAACCCGACTCAGAGCCAATGCAACAGTGGAGTGGACCTCGCCCAACTCATCAGGACCAATCAGAAGATCAGAACTACTAGATTCAACCTACATCATTTATTGTATAAAATGTCTGCACACAATGTTTTCGGGGCTCTCTTCTCCCTAAGAGTTTGACGAACGAGTCCGTGCACGCGATTCCAGATATCTTTACCTCTGAATAAACTGCCTTTATTATACCATTATCCACCCTGTCCAAAGTCTCTACTTGGTCTCAGTTCTCCAGTAAACTTGTGATTATCAACAGTACACAACGGTAACAAACAATTGGGGGATCTCACGGGGCAGATAGTAAGGTCGCAGTGACACAGAAAGCAGTTCAATGTCGGGGTACAGAGTCGCTCTCTTACCAGGATCGCGGTCCGCTCTGACCAGGGTGAAGGTGGCCGGCTCCACTTCTCTGTCCGGGACTCTGTCATCCAGCCAAGTCTCCCAGCTGTATTGGGATTCAGCTGCCAGCAGCGTTTTCATTATTTAGTCCGTTCATAGCGGGTATGTACACGATCAACAAGATCAGTCCAAAACCAACCACTGGAAATCCATGGTTGGCAGAATGTTTGTAAACTAAGTCTACAAATTAAAAACATAAAATAACGCCACAGTGCAGGTCGCAACAGAGACGCTGCTAGCCGCCATTTTCTTAGCTACGTTCATGGTTACGTCACGTATGACGAAAGCGCGTAAGTGCAAGCCCACAGACACCCATAGAGAATGTATTGAAAGCTTTGAAATTTGAAAAAAATAGACCCCTGGTTCTCCTCAGATTTGACCAGCACAAAAACATTCTGTGGCGTACTGCATTAGCATCGAACAGCCCCCGCGATATGCAACTTTTCAGGGAAGTCAGGAACCAATATACACAATCAGTTAGGAAAGCAAAGGCTAGCTTTTTCAAACAGAAATTTGCATCCTGTAGCACTAACTCCAAAAAGTTTTGGGACACTGTAAAGTCCCTGGAGAATAAGAGCACCTCCTCCCAACTGCCCACTGCACTGAGGCTAGGAAACACTGTCACCACCGATAAATCTACAATAATCGAGAATTTCAACAAGCATTTTTCTACGGCTGGCCATGCTTTCCACCTGGCTACCACTACCCCGGCCACCAGCTCTGCACCCTCCGCTGCAACTTACCCATGCCCCCCACGCTTCTCCTTTACACAAATTCAGACAGCTGATGTTCTGAAAGAGCTGAAGAATCTGGACCCCTACAAATCAGCTGGGCTAGACAATCTGGACCCTTTCTTTCTCAAATTTGCTGCCGAAATTGTCGCAACCCCTATTACTAGCCTGTTCAACCTCTCTTTCGTAACGTCTGAGATCCCCAGAGATTGGAAAGCTGCCGCGGTCAACCCCCTCTCCAAAGGGGGTGACACTCTAGATCCAAACTGTTACAGACCTATATCCATCCTGCCCTGCCTTTCGAAAGTTTTTGAAAGCCAAGTTAACAAACAGATCACTGACCATTTCGAATCCCACCGTACCTTCTCCGCTATGCAATCCGGTTTCCGAGTTGGTCACGGGTGCACCTCAGCCACGCTCAAGGTCCTAAACAATATTATAACCGCGATCGATAAAAGACAGTACTGCGCAGCCGTCTTCATCGACCTGGCCAAGGCTTTCGACTCTGTCAACCACCGCATTCTTATTGGCAGACTAAATAGCCTTGGTTTCTCAAATGACTGCCTCGCCTGGTTCACCAACTACTTCTCAGATAGAGTTCAATGTGTCAATCGGAGGGCCTGTTGTCTGGACCTCTGGCAGTCTCTATGGGGGTGCCACAGGGTTCAATTCTCGGGCCGACTCTATTCTCTGTGTATATCAATGATGTTGCTCTTGCTGCTGCTGACGCTCGGATCCACCTCTATGCGAACGACACCATTTTGTATACATCTGGCCCTTCATTGGACACGGTGTTAACAAACCTCCAAACGAGCTTCAATGCCATAAAACACTCCTTCCGTAGCCTCCAACTGCTCTTAAACACTAGTAAAACGAAATGCATGCTCTTCAACCGAACGCTGCTTGCACCCGCCCACCCGACTAGATTCACTACTCTCGGCGGGTCTGACCTAGAGTATGTGGACAACTACAAATACCTAGGTGTCTGGTTAGACTGTCAACTCTCCTTCCAGGCTCACATTAAGCATCTCCAATCAAAAGTTATATCTAGAATCGGCTTCCTATTTCGCAACAAAGCCTCCTTCACTCATGCTGCCAAACATGCCCTCGTAAAACTGACTATCCTACCGATCCTTGACTTCGGCGATGTCATTTACAAAATAGCCTCCAACACTCTACTCAGCAAATTGGATGTAGTCTATCACAGTGCCATCCGTTTTACATTTACATTACATTTACGGCATTTAGCAGACGCTCTTATCCAGAGCGACTTACAAATTGGTGCATTCACCCTATAGCCAGTGGGATAACCACTTTACAATTTATTTTTTTATTTTTTATTTTTTTTAGGGGGGGGGGGTAGAAGGATTACTTTATCCTATGTTTTGTCACCAAAGCCCCATATACTACCCACCTCTGTGACCTGTACGCTCTCGTTGGCTGGCCCTCACTACAAATTCGTCGCCAAACCCACTGGCTCCAGGTCATCTATAAATCACTGCTAGGCAAATCCCTGTCTTATCTTAGCTCACTGGTCACCATAGCAACACCCACCCGTAGTCTGCGCTCCAGCAGGTATATCTCACTGGTCATCCCCAAAGCCAACACCTCCTTTGGCCGCCATTCCTTCCAGTTCTCTGCTGCCAATGACTGGAACGAACTGCAAAAATCTCTGAAGCTGGAGACACTTATCTCCCTCACTAACTTTAGGCGTCAGTTGTCAGAGCAGCTTACCGATCACTGCACCTGTACACAGCCCATCTGTAATTAGCCCACCCAACTACTTCATCCCCATATTGTTATTTATTTTTGCTCATTTGCACCCCAGTATCTCTATTTGCACGTCATCTTTTGCACATCTATCATTCCAGTGTTAATACGAAATTGTAACTATTTTGCACTATGGCCTATCTATTGCCTTACCTCCATAATTTACTACATTCGCACGCACTGTATATATATTTTCTGTTGTATTTTTGACTTTATGTTTTGTTCACCCCATATGTAACTCTGTTGTTGTTTTTATCGCACTGCTTTGCTTTATCTTGGCAAGGTCACAGTTGTAAATGAGAACTTGTTCTCAACTGGCTTACCTGGTTAAATAAAGGTTAAATAAAATAAAAATAAATAGGCTATATCCAGTACCCACCTACAATCCTTTTAATACATCTGACACATTTCAGAGGAGAGAGAACTGATTTATTTCCTCCCACAGTGAGATGGAAAACATGAAATGAAAGCAGTTTATTCTGGGAGTTATATTAAAGTAGCGATACTCAAGAGAGGAACATAACTTTCACTTTTAAACTTTGTTGGTTTACAATATTGATACCTTCTCTTGCTTGTTGCGGGTAGTAAAGGAAAAAGGAATAACTAAGATACTTCAATATCTTAAAGTCCTGCTACAAGGGCCCAATGAGAGAATCTTCATTGAAAGTGCTTTTTAGTCCAGGAATAAGCATGCTAGCCGTTCCCATAGACTTCCAATTAATGCGCTAACGCTAGTTAGCAATTGCGCTAACGCTAGTTAGCAGCTTCCTTCAAACTGCACGCAGAGACAAAAATGTATCCGCGAGGTAATCCGACTCTAGGGAATAAGATAAAGGGCTTCACTGATTAAATCCAGAAGTATCTCTTTAAGTCCACAGAAATGAATGGGGAAGACCCCTGGGCATTCCTCCAAGTGTTTTAGGTAGTGCTTGAGTAGAGACATCCACATGTGTTCCTAAACATGAAAGCACAGCCAATTGTTAACACAAACATGCAGACAAACACACACACACACCTGACTTACTCTTCTTGAGTCCGCGGGGCATTGAGTGTGGCTGGAAGCCCCCAGCTGGAATGCCATAGGTGCTCATCCTCTGGACCAGGTTGGCCACGTTCCCCGCACTCTTCTCTCTCCGCTGGGGCTGCGCCTCCTCCTTGGCCTCCTCTTTGGTCACGTTCACCTCCTTGGGCTCCTTCTTCACCTCCTGCCACCAGAGACACCACACACAGTGGAGAGGACAATGATTAATTTAGTCTACATTAAAAAAGGATCACTTGCATGTAGGTTACACTGATCTTGCTGATAGTGGCTGTTTCGAAGAAGGCTTTTCTAGCAATGATTGTGATCTGTGTTTGTCTTAAAATTTAGTAAAATGCACTTATTGTAGCTTAATTGACTAAAATGTGAATGTAGTATCAATCACATAATGAAATTCCCCAATCATATGATGATGTCTGTTGATTTTATGTATGCGGTGAGCTAGCTAGCTAGCCAACTCCTCCCGGGCTGCTTTTAGATAATGTTATTGAGGCTGCAGTTTCAGTGGAGTCTTCACTTAGCTGGCTCAATGAGAATATGAGGCTGTGGGCACGAGAGCTAGGCCTACCGTATGGAGATCAGTTCGGGTGATTCCATGTGACTGTGTGTAAATGAAGATATTCTCTTGAGATGTTCAATACTTCCATAGTTTCATTTGGGAATATAAACTTTAGGGCACTTATTGAATGGTAAAAATTGAACACAATACCTACAATCATGAACTGATATAGCCTAAAGACCTGATGCCATCATATTGAACTTCCAAAGTAACTTTCACAGGCCAAACCTCTATCATGTCATGTATAGTCACTCACTTTATCTAGCTCTAACATGTAGGGCAAGGCTTTCCCTTTAACTGCCCAAGTGGAATCAACCATTTTGTAGGCCTATGTCCACGCCCTCCTCAGAAATGCCATTATTCACCGAGCTGTGCTGCAGCAACTACACAGGACATTCCTCCTCAGAGTGCTTTAACAGACACTTAGACTCCTCATAAACACACACTATTGAGCAACTGTACTCAAAGTTCTCATCTGACACAGGTCTCTCACCTTGTGTGCTTGAATATTTCTACAGAATTAACCACTAATAACTGATATAATACAGTAGGCCCTGAGTGAATGTGTAAACGTTAACTTTACTACTCTATGGGCCTGTGTCTGCTCATGTTGAGACCTGCCCCCTCTCCTCTCCAGCTCAGACCATAGAGCAAGGCTAGGACAGCAGCCAGTCACAGCCCGCTCCATTCACTCTGCCGGAATCTCTCAGGAATGCTTGAAAAAGCACTCTGAAATCTCTCTCTGTCTCCAGTGGAGTCCGCCTCGCTAAACAAGTAAGAGATAATGGCAACCTGCTTTTGAACCTGCTTTGCAGAGCCCTCACATGCTGATTCTACAGCAAATGATCATATTATAGACTACTACTGTTCCACTTGCAAGGTTGTAAAAAATGACCAATATTTATTTAATTTAACCTTTATTTAACTAGGCAAGTCAGTTAAAAAATTCTTATTTACAATGACGGCCTACCAAAAGGCCTCATGCGGGGACGGGGACTGAGATTAAAAATAAAAATATAGGACAACACACACATACCGACAAGAGAGACACCACAACACTACATAAAGAGAGACCTAAGACAACAACATAGCATGGCAGCAACACATGACAACACAGCATGGTAGCAACACCACATGACAACAACATGGTAGCAACATGGAAGCAGCACAACATGGTACATTTTACATTTGAGTCATTTAGCAGACGCTCTTATCCAGAGTGACTTACAGTTAGTGAGTGCATACATTTTTCATACTGGTACAAACATTATTGGGCACAGACAACAGCACAAAGGCAAGAAGGTAGAGATAGCAATACATCACGCGAAGCAGCCACAACTGTCAGTAAGAGTGTCCATGATTGAGTCTTTGATTGAAGAGATGGAGATAAAACTGTCCAGTTTGAGTTTTTTTTGCAGCTCGTTCCAGTCGCTAGCTGCAGTGAACTGAAAAGAGGAGCGACCCAGGGATGTGTGTGCTTTGGGGACCTTTAACAGAATGTGACTGGCAGAACGGGTGTTGTATGTGGAGGATGAGGGCTGCAGTAGGCTTCTCAGATAGGGGGGAGTGAGGCCTAAGAGGGTTTTATAAATAAGCATCAACCAGTGGGTCTTGCGACGGGTATATAGAGATGACCATATCAGGGTTCTACACTAACTTTTTCCACTGGTGGCACTGGTGCTATTAATTTTTTGAGTTGGTGGCACCAGCAAAAAAACTAGAATTGATAATGACCTGGCCCGTGTCCCATAATGTGCCTGCATTACCTGAAGACGGTTAGGCTATCATTAGCATCGCTAAGAGCTACACAAAGTGGTAGACATATAAGCCTACGCGCACCGCACACACAGGGCTTGACATTCAGGTAAATTTGGCAGTGGCACACCGGGCCAGTGGAAACAAAGCTACTGGCCCAAATGAAAAAAAGATCTGATGCAACAACCAGCTGTTTGAGAACTGCATACTCTCTCTGCCCGACAGATTATGTGCAGCGCGCATGATAAAAAAAACAACTTAAGAACAGCTTCGGGAATCCATAGCATTATTACAATATTATTTTCACTGGCCTAAGCGGGCCACTGTCGGGGATGATCGACTGGCCCGGAGTGTTTCCAAAACCTCCCTGGGCCAGTGAGTAGCCCTGTTAACATTACATGTAGTCATTTAGCAGAAGCTCTTATCCAGAGCGACTTATAGGAGCAATTAGGGTTAAGTGCCTTGCTCAAGGGATTCGAACCAACAACCTTTCGGTTACTGGGCCAATGCTTTAACCGCTAGGCTACCTGCCGCCCTATATCACAGACAGGGGCATTCCTGTGCCGTTGTAGCCTTTTCAGAAAGTTGGTTTATTTTTTGTCAATTGCACATTACTGTTTGAATAGGCAAATTCATGATAACAAAACGTGAAACTGACGTGACCAGGGCAGGAAAAAAAAAAAAAACACCATTGCGACCAATTAAAAACGTGTGTCGCACTGCCAAGTCAAACGGTTGTGGTCGCAATATCGCACCCCTGATTCATTTCCTGAATAGATCCTGAGTTCAAGAGGCAAAAAGTTACAGCCCTATGCCAGGTAAGAATAGGCTACTTTGTAGTTAACATTTAATTGACAATGTTACCAGAAGACTTTTCATTAGCATCATCGCTAATGGCTACACAAAGTGGTAGACGCGCGCACAACACATAGACGGGGGAATTCTCGTTGCCTCTTCAGAAAGTTGCAGGAAATACGAATCACTGATGCATTCTGTTCATGTCTTATGATAAACTTGGGCAAATTAATACATTTAGTTGATTCCCTACTAAGTGCAATACATTTTTTTATATTGTTGAATTCTGTTTTGATGTCTGGACTTCCACTTTCTCTGAAATGCAGATTTTACAGGGAGGGCCCTACAAAGTCAATCCATATCAAGAGTTTAACTGTGTGTCTAGAGGGGAAGCAGCAAACGTCAGCAAAGTCCCACTCACATAGAACTGGGGTATGTGAAGTATTACAGGGCTAGGCTGCTGGCTCTGTCCCCGTCCACTCCTCTACACTCCCTGGCTCTGTCCCTGTCCACTCCTCTACACTCCCTGGCTCTGTCCCCGTCCACTCCTCTACACTCCCTGGCTCTGTCCCTGTCCACTCCTCTACACTCTCTGGCTCTGTCCCTGTCCACTCCTCTACACTCCCTGGCTCTGTCCCTGTCCACTCCTCTACACTCCCTGGCTCTGTCCCTGTCCACTCCTCTACACTCCCTGGCTCTGTCCCTGTCCACTCCTCTACACTCCCTGGCTCTGTCCCTGTCCACTCCTCTACACTACACTCCCTGGCTCTGTCCCCGTCCACTCCTCTACACTCCCTGGCTCTGTCCCCGTCCACTCCTCTACACTCCCTGGCTCTGTCCCTGTCCACTCCCTGGCTCTGTCCCTGTCCACTCCCTGGCTCTGTCCCTGTCCACTCCCTGGCTCTGTCCCTGTCCACTCCCTGGCTCTGTCCCTGTCCACTCCTCTACACTCTCTGGCTCTGTCCCTGTCCACTCCTCTACACTCCCTGGCTCTGTCCCCGTCCACTCCTCTACACTCCCTGGCTCTGTCCCCGTCCACTCCTCTACACTCCCTGGCTCTGTCCCCGTCCACTCCTCTACACTCCCTGGCTCTGTCCCTGTCCACTCCCTGGCTCTGTCCCTGTCCACTCCCTGGCTCTGTCCACTCCCTGGCTCTGTCCCTGTCCACTCCCTGGCTCTGTCCCTGTCCACTCCCTGGCTCTGTCCCTGTCCACTCCTCTACACTCCCTGGCTCTGTCCCTGTCCACTCCCTGGCTCTGTCCCTGTCCACTCCCTGGCTCTGTCCCTGTCCACTCCCTGGCTCTGTCCCTGTCCACTCCCTGGCTCTGCCCCTGTCCACTCCTCTACACTCCCTGGCTCTGTCCCTGTCCACTCCTCTACACTCCCTGGCTCTGTCCCTGTCCTGACAGTGGAGGGATAAACCAGGAGGGGTGAGAGGGCTAGCCTGAGACTGACCCCACTCATTCCACTTCCTGGTTTACACATGCTGACTGGGCATTTCCACAACAGAGGAAGTTGCTTCTCTCACACAGGTCAGCCAGTCTATATTCCTGTGCCAACTGGAGACCAGCTTCCCGACTTGACCAGTGTCCTGACTCAAGCGACTCCCGAATTATAAAACTATTTCAATACATTCATTCAATCCATTAAAAAAATAAAAGGAAAAGCATGCCAAGAGAGACGGCCGGGGGCAAGGAGTTGAGACCTTGGGAGGAGCCAGACTGCTGAATGGGAAGAGAGAAGGAGAGACATCCTCCTCTGGCTGACTCCAAGCTCTAACCCAAGAGAAACTGACGGCCAGTCTTAGAACAATAACACATCCTAATAGAGTTTACTGCTGACTTGTACAACTCACTGTGTTGAAGCTGAACAAACAGCAAATGTAGCAGACACAGAAAATACCAAACTTTTCTTGCATAATTGGCCACCATTTCCAACAAACTGAGAAAAATCACATATTGAGGAAAGGAGTTTCATCCCTTTTCTCCTTGGAGGGCCAAACAAACTGATTTCGGTCTGAGCCTCTGAGGTGACAAAATTGTAAACAAAGTGAAAACCCGTGACGGCACTGCCAACACCCAAAACAGTAACACCTCCGCTGGCACAGAGCGGAGTTGTTGATTATAATACACGTTAGAAACACCTCAAAGAACCCTGTCATGTTGACGTTGAGTAAAGACGACGAGACGAATCCCTTACAGACTCCTCTGATTCCGACATGATTTCCTGGGAAGAACTCTATTTGTTTAAGACAGACACAGAAGCACTTATAAAGGAATAAACATTTTCTAACAGCGTCCGGGAGCAAAGTTCTGTACAGCAATATAGCTTCCAGACTCCTTAGAGGATTACCTATCTTACTACTCTGGATTAGTCAGGAGGGAGGGAAGAGGGAAGAGCAGCCGCTCTCTGGGACTTCATCATAACACTCAAATAGAATTGATTTGGGTTTAAAAAAAACACATACAACAAGATATACAAGATGTACAATTTATTCCCAGAGAATAGCACAGAGAACATACGTAGCCATTTACACTCGTACCCGTATATGGGTTGAAAATGGCAGATTTAGGCACTGATAAACGCCCAAATTGGAACACAGTGGTTGTACAGTAACATACTATAAATGACGTCAGAGCTCTGTCTCTGTGCTTCACAGCGCTGTATGGGTTTTGTCTGACAGCCGTTCTGAACTTGAGCACCGTGTGCGACAAGAAATTGCCCCAATTCCTCCCAGTAATTGGGCCAACTTTTGCAAATGTTTTGTCTGAGTGAGAGAAATGCTGAAATTTAAGAGGACTCAATCTATTTTGAAAGATGAGGCATTGAGGATTATAATAAATACGGCTTTGATGTCATACAAGCAAGCCAAATGTGCACTTCACATTTCCATATCATAAAACTTATGTCATACATGTTTCTGATCACTATGTTTGATGTACAGTTACAAGCTGACAAGTTGTTCTGAACAGAATGAGCCTGTTTGTCACGCACCTGAATCCACTCATGACTCCTTTTTATGTGCACCAAAATGATGATCAGTTTCCCTGAATTGCATTGTTAAAGCCTAACACTGTAATGTTGTATTTTATAACCTAGCTAGTCATGTTGGCAATAGAACAGGCTTTCAAATGATGTCCCACCTGACCCAGATAGCGATTTATAAAATTGAAATTTTTTGGATTGTGTAAACGGTAATTGTGTGATGCCGGGATGCAGGGTTGTGTTCCAAACAAAACAACTAAAAGTGAGCTTGCTCGAATTCCTCAACAGCACAGCTAGGAGTAAAAAAAAAACAGCACCTTATAGTTGAAGACTCTTCTTTGAGTCATAAAAGTGCATTGAAATTACTTAGGAACTGTGCACACTTTGGATAGGTGCGTAGCCACATGGAGACACTAATTAGTCCTCCCACTCAAACCTTTGTCATTTTTTTGTCTTAAGTTGTACCTATCCCCACATTTTTCACAAATATTCTCATCATGATACTGAATGGATCCAGATTATTTTCAGATTTCATTATCAACAAATGCGGCGAAAAGTACAGTAAATGTAAAATGCACATAAAATCAACAGTGTCAGGTGAACTGTTGTGTCCTCACCATATTTATTCTGTAAGAAACATTTAAATTTAGCCCTATCCATATAGGCCAAATCCCACGAGCGTAAAGGGTTAAAGCTATTAATTAAAACACTTGTTTCCAAAGTGGTCATTGATGTTAAAAACTAGCTTGACGTAAAAGTTGCAATGAGTACCATGACAACTCCATTTCATGGTACATCAGAAAGAGAATTGTGTGCACGTCTTCAACTGAAAAGCGAGATTTCATAGTGCACTAGGGTTTACGAGTCCCGAGTCTGCAACCAGCAGTCATGAGTGTTTGTTGGAACCGGAACATGGTTCATGTTGCAATGCCAGAGTTGTCAGCTTGATTCCTATATGGGCCTTTTCGTTACTGTACCTGTCAACCGGAAGTTGTTTTGGGTCAAAGTGTCTCCTAAATTCTCATAATATTGTCTAAATAGGGAGAGGCTCTGCTCACCTTGACGAAGTTGTCAGGGAAGAGTCCTCTCTTCCCGTTGAGGTCACCCTCCATCCATCCCTCCTCCTCAATCCTGCGGACATTCCTGATCACTTCTCCCAGCCTCAGGGTCAGCTCATCTTCATGGAGGGCTTCATACTCATACTCCACCACAACCTCTACTGGAGAAATGGAGGGAGGGGGAGATAGAGGGAGAGAGGGATGGAAAGACTTTTCATTAGAACAATAGAGACTGAGAGACACATTGTTTTGACATGTAGAGGCCAGACAGTCCTGATCTGATGTCAATAGAAGTCTGTTCTTAAGATTGAAGCCTTGCAACAGCTAGCCTATACTGAGGCATCACTGCACACAAATCATGATTGCAATTGATCATCCTAGCTCTTCACTTAATATTGACGTCGATCATCCCTGCATGCTTGAACATGTTGCGGATGAAGAATGTTTTTGCATTTAGGCTACAAGAGGGTCAACTGAAAGAAAACAGGGATGCATCACACCACATAGCCTACTATGATATTAACTATTTTTAGGTATCTGCTACTTTCTGGCAAACCAATCCAGTCTAGACAAGACCACCATGTGACTCAGTGAGGCTCAGTCAATACATTGACCACGCTCTCAAAACGAGTAACCGGCCTTTAGACTGTCTGCCACTTTTCCATCTTCTCTATCCAGTTATCAACGTTAGCCGACCACAGCACACAAAAACAAGCCTTGGGAAAGAGAAGACAGTCATCTGCTAGATTACAGACTTGTAGATCGGAGCCATGTCATTTTGTCTACAGCGCCCTGGGAATAGGCTGTATCTAGCGACTCAGTCATTCACACGCCTGAAAGCCATCGGATTGATTGTTCGCTCACACACAGACGTAATCTCTGTTGACCACGGTTATTTACATAGTGATGTGGGAGATAAGCAAGCCACAGTGGTACAGTGCAGTACAGTGTACTAGCCAGTCTCCTTGTGGAAACAAAGGCAATAGGCTATGGTAGATTGTTGCAGACTTAGTCTCAAACTATCGGCGATAAGAGCCAATTGAAAGAGATTTTTAAACATTGACTAAAATCCTACAATAAACAGAAATTAAATCTTATAAATGGAAAATAGAAGAAAATCTTACAGTTGGTAGAGCATGGCGCTTGCCAACGCCAGGGTTGTGGGTTGGTTTCCCACGGGGGGACCAGTATGAAAATGTATGCACTCACTAACTGTAAGTCGCTCTGGATAAGAGCGTCTGCTAAATGACTAAAATGTTTTTTTTTTAATGTAAAAAATGTAAGAGACTGATGAGAATCTCATAATAGCCTACTATTGCCTCTTCTCAGAGGACGCCATGTCTGGATCAATGGGACTGAACTATCCTTTCTCCATCATAAAACGAGATCTGTAAACGGCTGTGCGATTATGCACGCGCACACACAGCAGTGTAGCTGGCAAAGTCTTTGGCTGAGCCTTGGTGCCAGCTGAGGCGTAGTTTAGCACTAAACCACACACACTGGGCAGCAGCACACACACCGGCCAAGCTTCCTGCTGCAGCCTTGCTCTGTGGCTCTGCTCTTCTGACATCAGTGTTGGCTCAGCAGCCTGGGCCTGCGCCAGGGAGAAATTAACCCTAATTGCAGATCCAAGATTTCCCTACCCGGATCCAAACCCTCAACCATTACGACTTGAAAACACCAGGCTGGACTGAGACCAGTCTGTGGGAACGACTGCCAGAAGGATCCCTCAGCCTCCGCCTCTTTTGCATGACGACTCAAACTGAATTCTTTCATTGCTCTATGTTCGCTACATACTTCAGTCTGAGACTGCCATTGTTGAAGTCGTTTGTGGTGACATCAAAATGAGGGGTGTTCTACAAAACAAAGTACTCAGAGGTTTCTGGGACCAATCAGAATGGTTAGAATGTGTTTGAATTCTAGAAATCGTGAGGGAGGTACTCAGATCCAGACTCCTTGCGGAGAAGAAACTAACATCCGTGGGCGTGGAGTAGCGTTTGACCGGAGCAAGGAGTTTGGGTAGCCAGGCAACAGCCTCTTTTCCTTAGGCTGCCACCAGACACTCAGATATATCCTCATCCTCCCTCAGGCCTAGCAAGGACACTGCCACTTCATTGACAGAGAGAGAGAGTTCTCGCTCCTTAAATGATCCATCCCAATGGCGAGCAGCCATCAATTCCCCCAGCGTCCATAATTTGCCCAGGCACCACAGATAAGGCTATTTACTTCTCCTTACGCTAATCTCTGTAAGCACTGCGCTTTGCTTCACCACAACACAATTTATGGAAGCCCCCGACGGGAGGGATGAGCCCCTAATTTCTATCCGTGTAACAACAGGATGAGATACCGTCTGACTCTGGCCAGTGGTAAACAATGACCTGCAGACAGACTGCTGGTCTGGTCAGGACCCTGCTGAGCCTTCTAAATGTAGGCTGCAACACTGCTAATGTAGATAATGCATAAATGAAAGAAGAAAAAAAAAATGTATGCACTCACTAACTGTAAGTCGCTCTGGATAAGAGCGTCTGCTAAATGACTAAAAATTTTAAAAAAATAAGTGGTGGGTAATGGTGGGTAGATGGAGATTCACAGAACGGGGACACAAGCTGCTTTCATACCACCGTGGTTTTCCTCCAAGTGTCCTTTACCAAAGGTGGCCTTGTTGGCCTATAAAAAGGCTCTAGGCTAAATCATCTCCGTTTGGTTTTAGATTGTCCTGGGTTGACTCGTTCTTTTTCTGCCAGAGTAATGTTCGCCCGTGAAATACCAGCGCTGCTGCAAAGGAGACAAAGAAAGCCCTCTTGGTTTTTCCTCAGGATGAAATCCCTTCCTAAACACATTATAGCACAAAAGGTTGTTAGTGCAGCAGCTAGGCCTTCTATTCCAGTACAGTAGGCTGGGGGCTTTCTGAATACTCCCATTCAGGTGCAATGTTGACCAGTGGGTGAAACTTCCTTCCAGTTCTCTTTTATGAGATTTGAAGGAGTAACATGGGCTGAAAAAACTGGTCCAGGAGTATAGCAGTCACTTAGGCCTTCTTTACAAACTAAATTGAATATTTCAACCTGCTCAAAACATCTTAGTTGCTATAGGCCTAGGGCGCGGACTGTGCACACACACGGCTGGATTCAAAGCATATGCTCACAGTGGGAGAGAGGTCCAGACTAGCTGTGCCCTGCGTGCTCCTGGAACAAAGTGGGTCCGCTGATTAAATGGCTCAGTGGGTTAATGAAATTACACCACTGGCACGTCCAAGATAAATGGGTCAGTGGGTTAATGAAATAACACCACTGGCACATCCAAGGCAGGAGGAAACACTGCAGACAAATGCATACAGGGAGAGGTCACAAACCAATCAATACTATGACGCCAAGACACAATAGTAGTGAGAGCAGCCCATGTTGTTGAGACAGACATGGATGGGGGCGCTTCAGTTCAGTAGAGTCCCAGTGTAGCCTAAGGCCATGCAACCAATGTCCTGTCGACTACTCCCACTGCGCCAGTCTGGATCTACCAAAGCACAAAACCAATGAAGCGCCAACAGCCAAACCAAGCATCAAACTAACGGCAACATTGGAAAGTGATCTTATTTTCCAAGAACACTCGCAAGTCATGTGAGCATGCCAGCATCCCTCACAGACACACAGGCTACACATGACAACCCTTAGATTAATTTGTGATTCAGATATCCATTCAGTGTTGTACTATGCATTTCTGTGTCTGGCCTGTCTGCCTGCCTGACGTGCCTGTGCATTAATGGCATAGTATTGAGGATTTAGGTCAGCGGGGCTGCCAGGCTGACAATGCCTTACACAGTCAGAACACATACGGTACCATGGGATGCCCATTGTGCTGCACTCAGTGAGGATCAGCAAGGGAAAGGCCCCGACTCTGACTGTGCTTCAATTCCCAATAGGCTTATGGGGATTTCTGCTGAAGTGGCCATCATTATAGACATAAATTATACTGAGACAAATAGCTGAAAGCATCGCCGTACATAAATTGTGTTTTGTCAACTGGATGATGAGCCGCCATGATTCAGATGACTGAGGCTGTGGTCACATGGCCTGGCTTGCCTCGGTAACCCACAGTTGTCAACACAAACGTGTCTTAAATGTATTTCTGTCACTGAAGTGTTAGGTAGGCTTTGCTTTTTCTTCTCTGTCTCTTTATCCTACAGTGTATGGTACTTGTGTCTTTGATGGAAAGCCAGTCCTGCTGAAGGCTAGTTAAAATGTCTTCTAACGAAGAGGGCCTGAGACTTAAAGCAGAGAAAGCTTTCATGTTGGGTTGAGTTCATGAGAGCATCTCTCTGCTGCTAGATTACTGTATCAATAGAACAGGACCATGGCTTCCAGTCTGTAATCAGCCTCCTCTCCCGCTCAGGGGGAGACAGGCAGGCGACACACACCGAACACACTCAGTGGTACACACATACACACACAGAAACAGGAGCATTCAGCGCCCCACAGGTGGTGGCCTTGTAACAAACTGACCTAAGAGCACACTGGTTGAAAGTGAAGCAATAGCCCTACTTGAAGTGAAAGAGGAACAATCTCGAATACTACTAGAATCATATAGCCTATATTTGGATACAAATATGACTGAAAGGTTTTTTGATTGAACACTTCAGTTGCTTTCACACACATTAGCACAATAATAAGGATTGCCATGTAAAGCATTGATTGGCTTCAGTTAGGCTGAATGTAGTCTACACCATTTGCAACAACTGGGTGTTGATTCCAAGGGCCCCACTATAAAACCAACACAACACATTCTGAAAGTCAAGCCTGAAGCGTTCTGTTCCATACAAGGTCACCAAATAAACACAGGTCTGTTTCTCTAGAAGTAGAAGGGGGGAAAAAAAGCCTTAAACTCAGAGAGCACATTCCAAGACAACTCCACCTACAACGCTATTAATAACCCCAAGTAATTGTACACATTCTTGTGAGTCACCATTACTGGCAAGTATAGGACTCGCTCTAACTAACATTAATAGGGAGGGTAGGGCTAGGCTATATGCTAATGCTAAATGAAGTAGAGACAAGGGGAAGAGACTGGGATCAGCAACTCACTCAGGCCCTTTGGCAACAGAAACACACTGTGTCACAACACTACTTAGGGGAGAGTCAGCCATAGAGATGATCAAAAGCTTTAGGATTCGTTCCACAGCAGAGTTTCATAAGGGAGGCAAGGCAGGGAGGCACCTAGAGATTAACTCCCCCTCCCTCTATGGTTCTCTCTCTCCCATTGCTCAATATCCTCCAGTTCTCTCTGTGCATGTCTTGGGAACTAGCCTGTGAAAATGCTTTTAAAAGTGCTATTTGAGAAAGGAGATGTTTATCAGACAATGGAGAAAAATATAATCCAGGACTCAGCCAGCCAGGCAGGCTGGGTCATTGATGGAGGCTGTAGACTAGGCAAATGCCATGACACGCAATTTCAGATTCAATTGATTGCTAGTGACAAGAGTTTTTTGCCCCTGGGACAAACCCAATGTTGAGCTGCTGTCCAGTAATACTGATTGAGATGCCTCTTTTATGATGCGTGTGCCAGTGGTCGACACAGCAGAATAGGGCCTAGTTCTAGAAGACTCCGCGTTTTACTTTCAATTTCAAGAGGCGCGTTTTTGAAGCACAAAGCAACGCATTTACCAAGGCGGCTGAAATCATTGTAATGGAAAAAGTAGGTAAAATTAAATACAATTTTATCTGTCACATGCTTCGTAGACAACAGGTGTAGACTAACAGTGAAATGCTAACTTACCGTCCTTCTCCAACAATGCAGTTAAAGATAAGATAAAAAAATAAACATGGAAAGTGACAGTGAATAACAAATAAAAATAAAGAGTAAAAATAACATGGCTATATATAGCGCATTCGGAAAGTACTCAGACCAAGACTTTTTCCACATTTTGTTACAGCCTTATTCTAAAATGGATTCAATATTTTTTTCCCCCTCATCCATCTACACACAATACCCCATAATGACAAAGCGAAAACAGGTTTAGAAATGTTTGCAAATGTATTAAAAATAAAAAACCAGAAAATCCTTCTTTACACTTTTGCATTGAGACTCGAAATTGTTTCCATTGATCATCCTTGAGATGTTTCTACAACTTGATTAGAGTCCACCTGTGGTAAAATCAATTGATTGGACATGATTTGGAAAGGCAGACACCTGTCTATATGAAGGTCCCACAGTTGACAGTGCATGTCAGAGCAAAAACACAAGCCATGAGGTCGAAGTAATTGTCCGTAGAGCTCAGAGACAGGATTGTGTCGAGGCACAGATCTGGGGAAGGGTACCAAAACATTTCTGCTCGCACAGATGGTTCAGTGTTGCTTGCCTCAAAGCGAGCATACAAGGCATTTAGGTTGTTTGCAAGCCATGCCACATCCGACGAGCGTCAGAGCCAGTGTAGTAGAATACGACCTTAGTCCTATATTGACGTAAAAGCTGTAGCTATCCCATCTGAGACTGGTGCTCAATCAAAGACCAGTGGGTGCAGTTATAGAACACTATGAAAATACATTAGGGATGAAACTAGCAACTAAGGTTGTCATAAGATGTGCATTAAACATGTAGCCTAGT